TGCGGATAAAATTCATGTAAATTGATTCAAATATTTGATACATTTCCGGTTTATCATGTCACAAGACATAGGAATACCATCTACTTCACAGAAGTGTCATCTTATCTCCATTTTGTCATCATACAAAACACTTTTGAAGCGAAGTTGTATTCACACTCTTTTTACCGGATATTGTTTCTATGGACCAATGACTCTAATACTTTAATAAATATATGTCCCACATTCCCCCTTTTTTTTATAAAAATACAACACACCAGAATGAATACATATCTCCATCTTACATTTGTATATTCCAATGGCACAAAATCCTCCAATTCAATTTAGGGCATGCGATGACATATCTCTCGTCGATCTAAAATTCAAATTGAATATTCTTCTACGATATTCAAAAAATCGAAGAGTTGTCAAGCTCGAGTATTATTCACTTTGAATTAAAGACGAATGAGGATTTAAAAGTTATGTTAAGTACATTTTATCGTTACTCATCAAATAGTCTAGTTGAAGTGGATGTGACAATTGTAAGATCTATCGAATACATTCTAAGAATGTTGCAACGGTCTTGAATCACCCGTTTTTAATGAAATGTAATATTAAATTTATGTTAACCATTATCTATGCAATATTAAGTTTTTTTAATGTTAATTTATGTTGTTCTTCAAACATTATGTCATTGTTTCTGTTATTGGTTAGGGACTATAGTATATTTCAGAGATGTATATTCGTAATACTCATTGAATTTTCTGCACTTGTTATTAATTTTTGGTTTGATCTAATATAGGATATTCTAGATATGCATCTCTAGATTAACCCTCATAAATATATAAAAATACATCTCTAAATTAAATTTTAGAAAAATAAGAATGATTCATCAAAATATATATATATATATATATATATATATATATATATATATATATATATATATATATATATATATATATATATATAAAACAAATGTGAGTTCGAAAATTCATATCTAAATTTTAAAAACAAATGTGACTTTTAACGTAGTGTGAGAACACCCATAAAATAGAAAAATAATCCTCAAATAATTCCATTGGAGCATAACTCGATACAATAGTTTATAAACCACTCTCCACTTGAATCTCCCATCCCATACATAGGACACTTTAACTACCTTATCTACCAGTCTTCTCATCCATGATTGTTGAGTCATACAAGTTTGTTAGCTTACGTTTGCAAAACTATTTTGTGAGAGTGTGAATTGTAGAAAGACCTCTTACTTTTCGTTTTTAGTTTTTTGTGCTAGCTTTTTCGTCTTTTATTATTATTTTCTTCCTTGTATTTGCTCTATAAATTAATAATTGCAGTTTTTGGTGACCATAGTAAGCAATCACATTGTATTCTTAGTCCTTAATCGATCAATGTTTTGTAAGAGTCAAAATCCATTGGATCATATAACAACTAATAATTAATCAAGAGCACGTGAGAAGTAGTTATATAGATAAGGATTACCCTTATGGAACATTATAATGATGCCAAAATAATACACAAATAAATAATTAATTGCGAATCCACTCGAAATAGATGATGTTATCCTAGTTAGATTAAATCAAACATTTATCTCATCCTACATGCTAGTTAATTAAGTATTACTTTCTAAGATACTTATATCTATTATCATATAGGCATACATTAAACGAGCTTGTTAAAAATAATTTCTCTTTAAAACTTCCATGAGTTTATGATGTTGATTAATAAACTCATAAATAAGCTATTTGCGAAAAGTTGGTCTCTTTTTAATTTTTTTTCTTTTTAATTAAAGTTTTACTTAAATTTATTTTATTTGCAGTTATGATATTAACTAATTAAAATTTTACTACTTAAAAATAAATGAATATAAATAAATAGAATTGTAAATTCGTACATAAAAATATATTTCTATATAACAAAAGACAAATATATATATATATATATATATATATATATATATATATATATATATATATATATATATATATATATATATATATATATATATATATATATATATATATATATATATATATATATATATATATATATATATATATATATATATATATATATATATATATATATATAGGGGTGTTCAGATCCAATCCGATCCAAAAAAAATTCAAAAATCGAACCGAAAAAACTAAAATTAAAAAAAAATCGAATTTTTTTAGATGTATTTGGATCACCATGTAGCATAACCGACCGGTTCGGTTCGGTTTACGGTTGGCTTTATGAGAACCGAACCGGTCCAAACTGAACCGGTATTACTTCCATTTACTTGCCATTTATTATTTAAAATAAATTAATATCGAATCATTTATAGTCATCCTCCCAAATTAATTATATTATTATTATTATATTTTCTCTATATATAATGCAGTTTGTCATATTATTATTATATATTCCTTGTGATGCAACTTTCGCATGTCCACTGTTATTGATATTTTTCTTGAAGTTTTATTATTATATTCGCTTTAATATAGCTTTGGAATCTTCATTTGTTCACTGTTTTATATATTTGTCATATATTTAATTTATAATACAAATCTCCATATAAGAACTAAGCATATCTTCATATATATTATATATTATAGTCATGTCTATTTCGTTGGGATAAATATTATACATATATTATAATGAAACTTTGCAATAATGACATCAAATAGCCATATGAACATAGCAATTATATATTGTCTCAGTAGACGTTGGTGACATAATTGTAACTGGTATTGAAATATATTCTTTTTAAATTTCTAAATAGTGTTGGTTTAAAAACCGAATAAAACCGATTTAACCGAACCGAAGTAAACCGTATAAATTGAATTGGATTGGATTGGATTTTTCTTGTTGTCATCCGAAAACCAAACCAAACCGTATGCTTTATATATTTTTGGATCGGATGATATTTTGTCTCAAAACCGATCCAAACCGGACCACGAACACCCATATATATATATATATATATATATATATATATATATATATATATATATATATATATATATATATATATATATATATATATATATATATATATATATATATATATATATATATATATATATATATATATATTACAATGTTTTTATATAGTGACATACAATCATAAAGAGTATCAACTAGCATGGGGTCATAGGATGGTGAGACAACCGATTTTTTTATTTTAATAAATTTGTATTAATGTTTGATTATGAGTTTTAATTTTTATATTTTAATTTTGAATGTATTTATTAAATATATCTCAAAGTTAATACTGAGACGTGTATTTTTGTAGATAATATAGTTCTATAAAGAAGATTGAATGAGAATTTAAATGAACCAATAAAAACATAGAGATGAGATTTAGAAACATTTGGTTTTTGCCTATATGAAATGTAAGTTAACTAAATGGATAAGTATTTCTAACATCAAGTTGAAAGTTAGAGACCATATCACTTATAAATCGCGTAGTTTAAATATTTTGGGTTGGTAATATAAAAATGATAGAAAGTACATCTTAAGTTGGAGATACAAAAGTATATCTTAAGTTGAAGGAAAAATTTAATCAAATTGAGATAAGATTTACGATGTTTTATATGATAAAATGTTGATCGGTTAATCTACACAAAAATAAAATTAATATAGTAGAGAAGAAGATATTGTGTTAGATGCGTGATAAAGCTAGACATAAAATTAGAAATGAGAATATTAAAGAGAGAGTGTATTGGGATAACACCTATATTAATTCAAATAATTTGAACATTTATATATATATATATATATATATATATATATATATATATATATATATATATATATATATATATATATATATATATATATATATATATATATATATATATATATATATATATATATATATATATATATATATATATATATATATATATATATATATATATATATATATATATAAAAGTAGAGAAAAATCAAATATTTATAGATGAAGGAAAATTTACAAAAACTATTAAAAAAAGATGTTGATCTTGATTTAGATAAAAACATAATTTTGAATAAAATATTATAATAAAAATTCATCCATATAACATAATAAACTTTGGTTGTTTTTGGGTAGTGTTATATAATCATATCACACTATTATTTATTTAAAAATACACAAATTATGAAAGAGTAACCATAAAAACTTTTTCACACTGCAAATGCATGCACTTTTTGAATAAAAAAATTCTCATTTTTTTTGTGATCACAAAATGTGAATGCATCAATGTTCGACTTGGCTATTACATACTCTAAAGTCTAAATATAATACAAATAAGTTGGACTTGGCATTTTTGGAAGATAAGATAATAAAATATTGAAAGAATGTTACAAAGTTGGCGTGAAAGGGAATCTTTTTATTGAAACAAAAGGTAAACTTTATATACTTTTAATTGAATACTATTCAATTAATATATTTATTTAAATCTGTCAAAGAAAACTATTTATTTATTTATTTATTTATTTATTTATTTATTTATTTATTTACTTGTTCAATTCATATTGCTTCAATAGTGTACGTATGTAATGGTTCAAAGTATGTGAATAATGTATTTTAAGGAATAAAGTGGCAAAAATATAATAACAATGAATACAATACTTATCTACATAGTATAGTATATATCATAAAGCTAAGTTGCCAAACCCAATACATGAACAAATCAACTTTTTGTACACGACTATTTCTAATTGGTCATAAAACTTTAATATTTTCTTTTCACAATTTATTGAGTCTTCAATTGCAGAATCTTTCTTTTGACTCCAAACAAACAAGTCCTAATCCATCCTTCAATTTCTAGCACAAACTAAAAATGAAAAAAAAAAAAGAAAAACACACACTATTTTTTGTACTAGTACTAGAATAGAAAATTAGTAGTAATTCTTAATGAAATGCTCCCATTGGCGTTTTTCTGTGGGCTCAACTTCTAGAAATTTTACATAACTATTTGAATTTTCTAATAATTTTTTTTTAATATCACTTAATTTTTGTGTGGTATTTTGGATTATCCTTGATATTGATGATGAGGACCTAAAACCAATTGTTGATTCATCAAAGATTGCTTCATGAGGTAGCTTTCATATTGTGTATTGATGTTAGAGAAATTGCAAGAGGAGCTCAAGAATTTCTTTGATGGGTACAATAACATGTTGTTGTCCTCATCTATGTTTGAAAGATGGTGCTTTAAAGGATTCTTGTTTTGTGACATGTAATTGTTGTTGGTGTTGATTTGGGAAGATTGTTGTTGTTGGTTAAAGTTTTCAGTGTTGTTGAAGTTTGAACTTGTTCCAATTCCTGATGGATTGTTGGAATGGTTTTCTGATAAGAAATTGCTTAACATGGAGTAGTCCATAGCATCTAATAGGTTTGAGAAAGAGACTGATTTTTGTGACATGAGTGTGTTTTGGTGAGGAGGTGTTGTGTTCTTTGTGATTGGAAAATGAGTTTCTTTGAATAACGTATCGTCCACGTGTTCTATTTCGCCTATTATTGATTCTGACTCCGTTGATGATAACGCGCATTTTGATTTATTATAAATTCGGCATAATACCCAATCGTCCAACTGTAAAAACAATAACATTAATCAAAAAAACATAGAAGAACATAGTCATTGAGACATGATATGACAATCATATATGACTCTTATAGTAATGAGGCGCTTACCCTCATGGAGGAATCTTTGAGTTTAATTGGTTTATTATTATCAACAAGGCGATATTCATGCATGATCCAATTAGTTTTAATGCCCTTTGGAGGTTTTCCTTTGTAAAAAACAAGTGCCTTTTTGACACCAATAATATTCTCTTGTGACCTTCCTCCACATGGCAATGATGCAACTATTGTCTTATCAGTTCCAGTGGCTTTCCAATACCCTGAAGCAGCTGCCCTGTTTGGCCTTGCACCATTTGGGTACTTTCTATCTCTAGGACTAAAAAAATACCATTCTTTCTCACCAAACAAAGCCTTGGCTGAAAAACAACAACAAAAATTAATTAATATTCCACACCACACATTATTAAATATAAGAAACTGACAAAGTCTAATTAAACCAACTTAATTAATAGTTGTGTAAAACTCATTAGAAATAAAATTTTAGAAACCTGGTAATTCCCAAGGATCTAATTTGTAAATATCAACTTCAGCAATGATGGAAACAGGTAAAGGAATAGAGGCAATTTTTTTTCTAAGATAGTGAAGAATGAGTTCTGCATCAGTAGGGTGGAACCTAAAACCTGGGGGAAGATTAGACTGTGGGGTTACCATGTTTTGTTGAGGAGGATTGAAATTTTTGGGATTGGGAGAAAGGAAGGGGTTTTATGGTTGTGAGGTTTTTGTCGTTATGTGGGGGAAGAGATTAGGCCAAGGGGGCTAGGGGGGTGTGAATGAGGAAAAAAATAAGATGAGTTCCAAGAACCATGATTTTCCAAAAGTGGGGTCCATTTTAAAGAGATGGATAAAAGCAATGTGAAAACAGCTGATGGATGACAAACCCAATCCCAATCCTTCATTACAAAAAGATATTTAGACATTATATTTACTCCATTTTTTTCTTCTTCTTACATTTTGCCTTTATTTGAAAACACACATTTTATAGCTTATAAATTTATATTTATTTAGTAATGTTTTTTCCATTATGTCTTTATAGTTTATTTCTTAAATATTATTTTAAATATATTTTAATTTAATTTATAGTTTATTATTTTTTAAATTTACTTTAATTTAAAATAAAATAATTATATATTAAATATTTTTATGTCATTTTGTATTTATAAATTAGTTGAATCTTTAATTTTATTAAATATTTCAATTAACTTATCAACTATCAACCATCAATAAATAATTATAAACTATAAACTATCGGTCATTATTCGTCAATCATAAATTATATATTATTAACTAATTTATCAATCAACTGTTAATTTTACTAAAGAGAGTCTTATTAAACAAGTGATATAGATGAAATATTTAATTAAATCACACTATAAACATTTTAAAAACTAATCTAGAAAAGTTATTTGATTGAGTACATGTGAGTAAGTTTTATTTTATGCCTATGAATTAATATTTTAAATTTGTTTTAGCATTTTTATTTTTATTTTTATTTGATTATTGTTTAATGATCATCATTTATTATATATAGCCAAATCTTGACCACATGTAAAAACAAGCAATTTTTTAATTACAAATGTTATTTTTGTTTGTATTTCATTGAAAACTAATCTATGTATCTTACTAGCCATTATGTTTCTTTATAGCCGATATACTTTTTCACTAAGTGAGTTATGTTAATCGCACTAAGTTCTTTATGTAGGTTGCAACTATTTTTCTATCCTCTTCCAACAAGCCTACTATAAGTGGCTGCCATGTTATGTATATTTAGGAAATGATTCAATGAGATAAGTAAGCTTAAATGCATGTTCATCTAATTCAGAATTCATGTTGTATTATGGTATTAGTAGAAAACTCCAAAAACTTTACTTATTCTTTCAAAACTGAGTTTCTCCACCCATCAATCAACAATGATGAATCCAAACGATCATGAAATTTCTTCACCCATCAATCAACAACAACAATATCAACAACAATAACAGAAATCAACCAATTAAAATTCATCCAAGAATTCAACCATTGGTAAATTAAGTTTTTATTGCATACTAGTACATCTATTTGGAAATACTGGGGAATCTAGGTTGGAGCTAGGGGTGGAAATCTAGCAAGTCTATTAAGTTGATTGATTGGGGCACTATGTTAAAAGATTATAAGAGTGATAATGGATTATAAAATCAATAAAGACATCACATTAAAGTTTTGGAATAAATTTATATTCAATTATTTTTATTTTTATTTTACCATCGATTCTGAGATGTCCAATTGAATGGAGTATTTATCCAACCGAATAGATAATCAATTCGGCCTATATATTATTTCTTTTTTATTTTATTTTTCAACTACATTATAAGAGAGGCTCGCCCTTATTTCAAATGACGCCACTCTCCAATATTTTCATATTTTTGGGGAATCTCTCTCTCTCTCTCTCTCTCTCTCAAAATATTTTTACTCACTTCTGATTGTCTTAGTTCTATTAAGTGAAGCTTTACTCGTGAGCAAGATAATTTTGAAGTGGTCGTGTTGGTTGTTTATATTCTTAAGGGTGCGATATCTTTAAGAGATTGAGTTTGGTTCTTGAGATCAACCTTTATAAAATCTATGTTATTGGTTTATTAAGCTTTGGGGGAAAAAATTGTTATGGTTATTGAGATCCGCCATAAATCTCGAAACGATTCAATAGTTCAGCCTGGGATAAAAGATGTCATTTGGTTGGGGATAAGCCTGTTAAAATCTTATGATCATATTATATTAAAGGTTCGAGGGTATAACCTTCAAAAGCTCAAAGTTTATAGTGAAACTCTCAAGAAAACCTCTTAGGAACATGACTAGGCTACTGTTCGAGTAAACCTATATAAATCTCTGGTGCAATCTTTCTAACCCTATCATTTTATTTTCTCTAATTTACTTTTAGTGTTTTATTTTTGTTGTGATTGCTCACCTAAAAATTACTAATAAGATATTAATTGAGAAAGGTTAAAATTAATCACAGATTTTGAATAAAACAATTAATTGATTCCCCCTTCTTGTGCTTGAAGACACTTGTCCAATAAGTGGCATAAGAGTCTAACTCTTATTAAGGACTAATCTTCTCAGGAGGAAAAATGTCTTCAAGCTAGTCATTAAACGAACCTTCATCCTTCAATGGAGAAGGGTATAGTTTGTGGTAAGAGAAAATGAAAATTTTCATAGAAGGAACGAATTGTGGTATTTGGAAGACTGTGAAAGAATGACCATTTGTCCCTACATGCGATGTTAATAGTTTTGTAGTGGATAAAGCTGAAAAGGACTAGTCCAAACAAAACAAAGAGATGTGTAATACAGTTTGAAAGCTAAGAACATCATCACCACTACACTCAGTCTTGATGAGTTCTTGTGAGTTTTTCACTGCAAAATTGCTAAAGAACTGTGGAACATCCTCCAAATTACCCATGAAGGTACTACTGAGGTAAAGAGGGTAAGGTTGGACACATTAATCTATGAGTATGAACTCTTTAGATGAAACCTGAAGATGACATAAATCAAATGCAAACATGATTCACTCACATCGTGAGTCATACGAGAACTATAGGGACAACATTCTCAAATGTGGAATCAGTCATAAAAATTCTTAGATGCTTGAACCATGGATGGAAACCCAAAGTCACTTCGATTTGTGAATATAAGGATTTGGCGACTATACACTCTTTTTGGCAAATTGCAGGAGCATGAAAAAAACTCAAAAGACTTGCCATATATGAAGAAGGAGAAAATAAAAACTAGAGTCTAACACTCAAAGCTAAAAAATCTGACTTAGATGTTGACATGGCCCTCATAGTAAAGAACTTCAAGAGATTTACGAAGTATGAGAAAAAGAAATCAGAGAACAACAAAAATATGAAGAAAAATAATTCACTCCAACATGTTACAATTGAGGAAAGAAATGACATATCAAACTTTATTGTCCTCTATTGAAAACGGTAAATCAAAATTTCAAAAAAAAATCAGATCAAGAAGAATAAGAAAGTATATATCGCATTGGAAGATAATGATATGGAATCCTCGGATAATGAAGAAGAAAAAGGCAACATGTGTCTGATGATAAAACATCGAGATGGTGAGGTAACCTCTCAATTTTCCTATCATGATTTATTTAGATTATGTAATAAATTAATGAACAAAACAACCAAACTAGAGAAAATTATTTCTACATCCAAGGATTTTACCTCTTCTCTTGAAACTAAAAATAAAACCCTAAAAAAGGAAATATAACACCTTAGAGATAAGGAAGAAAACTTCAATCAAAATCCGTCCACTTCAAATGAAGAACCTGACATGTTTAATAGTTGTAACAACTTAAAAAATGAAGTATGCGATCTTCAGAACATACTATTAAAATTCACCAAAGGGAGAGATAACCAAGAAGTCTTGTTAGGAAATCAAAGAGCCCCATACAACAAATCCATATTAGGTTATGAACAATAAGCAAAACTTTGAGAACATATGTAGAACCAAGAGCATAACTCATTATTAAGCATTAAAAAAACAAATATTGCAATAAAGAAGGTCGCGTAGCCATGTTCTCTTTTATAAGGAAAAGCCAAAGCAAATAAGGACATTCCATATTACACTTCTATAAGAAATATTGTGAACACAAAGATAAAATGTCATCTAACTTTGAAAATGAATATGTATCTAAGACAAGAATGAAAACTATTTATGAAACTAACTAACAACGACCCAAGATGATATAGGTACCTAAAGTTAAGAACTAACATTTTTCTGTAGGAATGATTTACAGTCTCAAACACTAAATAGTATCTTGATAGCAGTTGTTCAAAGCATATGACAGGTGTCAAAAACTTATTATCCACCTTATTTCTCAAAGAATGAGGATTTGTCTCATTTGGAGATAATAATATGGGGAAAATACTATATTTTTGTACCATCAGTAAGTTCCAAAATCCAAGGATTGGGGAGGTCTTCTTGTTAAAAGGATTTAAGCATAATTTGCTCAACATTATTCAAATGTGTGACAAATGTAACAATGTAACATTTGATTCTTCTAGTTTCAAGCTCATAAAATCAAAATCAAATGAAACTCTATTTACTAGCTCAAGAAGTGGAAATACCTACATAGTGAATTTAAACAAAATTCCTTCAACTGGTGTATATATCCTAAGTAACGAAGATGAATATTGCTTATGGCATAGGAGAATAGCACACATCGACATGGACCACTTAAATATGTTGGTTCGAAAATATCTTGTATACGGACTTCCAAACTTGTGTTTTCAAAAGAAAATATTATGTGATGCATGTCAAAAAGGGAAGAAAGTAATTGCCGCTTTTAAATATAAAAATATAGTTTCTATTGATCGACCCTTACATCAGCTTCCCATGGACCTTTTTGGCCCATCTAGAAACATAAGTTTATGCGAAAACGTATATGCTCTCATCATTGTGGATGGCTGTTATATCCCATTTTCCCCCTAAGATCCTACATCACTCCACATCATCATAATACACCAAGATCACACATTAGGGTTGGTTCTCTCTTCTATCTGAAAGTTTTCTCTCTAGGGATCACCAAGCACCTTGAATTGTGTATCTTGTACATGTGCATCTTATTCTTAACTAACATCAAAATATGTATATATGTTTTCCTTGTATGTTTA